GTTGTGTCCTTGGGAAAGGCACTTTACACGAATTTTCCTCACTTTACCCAGGTGGGAATGGGTACCCGGCTATAGACAGCGAAAGATCTTGTCAGTTTGTTAGTGTTTGAGCGCTTAATCAGCTGCTTACTCTGTACGCTTCCCGGGAAGCTGAGAATGTTTCGGAGTGTTCTATGGTCTGCTGGAGTATAAATTCTATAGTGTAAAGCGCATAGAGCCTGCTGTTGAGCGGGGATATGCGCTATACAAATGCTATATATTATTATTATTATTATTAAATATGTGTGAGTGCGTGTGTGTGCGTACGTGCATGCGCGTGAGAGTAATTGAATGGTGTAGTGGGTAGCGTGTCTCACCTGCTGTGCCCTCAGCTCCGCCTCCGCCGCCGCCCTCGCCTCTACCTGTCTCCTGGCCTGGGCCGCCTGTTGTTGCTTCTGCTGATACTGTCTGGCCACCTCCTGTCTGTGCCGGGCCATCTCCTCCTGTTGGCGCTGAAATGAATGAATGAAAGAATTAATTAATTATTAATTAATGAGTGAGTGAGTGAGTGAATGAATGAATGAATGAATGAATGGATGAATGAATGAATGGATGAATGAATTAATTAATGAACGAGTGAATGAATGAATGAATGAATGAATGAATGAATGAATGAATGAATGAATGAATGAATGAATGAATGAACGAACGAGTGAATGAGTGAATGAATGAATGAATGAATGAATGAATGAATGAATGAATGAATGAATGGATGAATGGATGAATGAATGAATGAATGAATGAAGTTAGTTGTTGCTTCTGCTGGTACTGTCTGGCCACCTCCTGTCTGTGCCGGGCCATCTCCTCCTGTTGGCGCTGAAATGAATGAATGAAAGAATGAATGAATGGATGAATGAATGAATGAAGCTATTGCATCTGCTAATACTTCTGCACCATCTCCTGTCTGTGCGAGGCCATCTCCCCCTGCAATAGATTTTTAAAAGATAAATAAATAAATGAATAAATGAATGAATAAATAAATGAATAAATGAATAAATGAATAAATAATTGTATAAATGAAAGAATCAAAAACCCACATACAGACTATGCGTTGCGGGGTGCACATACTAGAAGTAATATACCAAAGGTCAATAAGAGCAGTGTCAAAAGTAAGGTTATGAAAGTAATCTCTCCGTCAATCTACGTAGGATAATTGTATTTCCTTATCAAAAAGACAGAACTTTGTGTTATACATAATATCAATTGTAAAAAAATTGTGACTCGTGTAATGAAACCGCTGTCACCACCACCAAAAACAAAAGATGGG